AAGCACCTTTAAAAAAAAAACAAAAACCCAACCCTTGTTTGGATGGTTAAATAACATTTATATTCTCTTCCTGACAAATAGTCTGGGAAATGTTCTGAGAATTACTGACACATTATTTCCCCTATATGTAAAACAAGACAAATTTAAGAATGGAAGATGCCAGGCTGTAGACAGATATGCAGGCAGTGAGACATTCTCAGCTTTCTCCTTTTTTGGAATTCATAAAGCATTCCTATGGCCTAGAAACGTAGCTTTCTTCAGTACAAAACTACAAACAACAAGAGACCATTATTATGCTGCGATTCACTCTAATGAGATCTGCAGTTCTCAGGGGTAGGTGGTGTTGGATTCTGTATTTGGACAGAATATGTTCTTGTGGGAAGAATGACATGACCTAAATCACTATTTATAGTCTTGTTTGTTCTTCAAAGAAATAAGAGGAAAATGGGAGAATCATTAATGGAAAATTTTAAATAATGAGCTAATGAAGAAAAAAGCAATTTGGCTTCTCTAATAACTCGGAGCCTGTTCTATATCCCCTAGGTACATTTGTGCTTCTTGCGCAAAGAATAAGGGCCAAAACCAAATAGAATACCCCTGTTTTATACTCACCTAGAACAAAATGAAGCGCTGGACAATAAGGTCATTTTTCTGTCATTATATACTATGTTTTATTTCAATTTTGTGTAAACATGGCAGAATGGAGAATCTTATGGCATGTTTTTAGCAACAATTATAAATTATAAATCAAATAAATGTTACTATATCATTTTTATTGTTCATGTTATTTGTATTATTTTATCAAAAGCTATAAATAAACTCCTCCTCCAAGAGTGAAATCCTGATCCATTTGAAGTCAGTGGGAATGCTTAAGCCTTCTGGGTTCTCTAGCTCTAAAAAAAAGTTTGATTGTAAAAAGTCTCATATTTTACAGTTATATATTGAAATTTGTGGTATAAACTATAAAAATAATCAGACATCACTTTTCATAGTTATATATGGTATACTTAATCTGCATAGCTTGATGGGATGTTTTAAAAATGCAGAATATACAGGGCATAGATAAGCTGCTAAAATACACTGTAGATTTCTTCTAGGCCCCACAGAACAGTAGAAGGGAGGTACCAGCGGACTCTAAGGGAGTTTATACATGTGCTCTGAGAGTGGGGAGGAGGATGCTTTAATTAGAGCAACTCCAAGAACCGCTTTAATTAAAGCGCTCAGAGCATCACATGTATCAGTGTCCCTGTGCTGAAAGATGGTGGATGGGGCACTTTAACTAAAGTTCATCGAGTGAGCTTTCGTTAAAGTGCCCCCACTGCCATTTTTCAGCATGGGGAGACTGATTGATGCATGTGATGCTGAAGCCGGCTGGCGTGCAGTAGACAGGTGAAGACAAAAATCATTTAACAGTACAGAGACAAACTACTTTAAGATCACTGTACAAGCGATGGCAGATGTGAAGAAAGTATTATAAATATTTGATAGAAATCTAACAGGATTAACTTTAAAAGCAGTAAAAACACCTGACATAACTTTTTAAATTTACCAATGATAGTACTGAAGATTGCAGGGAGCACAGTGGTTACGGCATCCCACTGTGGCTCTGGAGGTATGAGTTCAAGCTCTGCTCAGAATGCGTCTGTAACAGGGGCTCGGGCAGAACCCCTGCTACTGGGGAAACCTGGGGCATGGGTGATTAAGAGAACTAAGACACAGCAGTGGGGGGGATTGGCACACCTGGGGAGGATTAGGGTAATCATGGCCACCGCCACACATAAAAGGCGGGGCTAGAAATCAAGTGGTTGCCCTCGGGGCACTGGAGTGAAGGACAGCAGTTGCTACGGAGTCAATGGAGCAAGAAGGACGCCGCAGGCAAGGCCAGCAAGTCAGACATTGGACCAGTGAGACGAGGGATACTTACCTCAGGGGGCAGTGGCTGGCAGTCAGCTGGCAGGATCCCAGGGAAGTTGGGAACGCCGTTACCTCTCAGCTCTGTGTTCTTGGGGAACCCTGGCACAGGACACAGCCTGTCTTGACTCCCAAAGGACTCTCCCCCTCCCCACCTCTGCCTGAACAAGAACTGATTAGAGGAAGGACTTACAAAAGACAAAGAAGATGCAGTGGGAGACGCACCTAAAGCCCTCCAGACAAGGGTGACCAGAGTGAAGCAACTCCCCTGGTCTCATTTGCATCTGAGATGGAACCGGATGACAACTCACTTAAATGAGAGATGGGACAGGAATGCACCTTCATTAACATTCAGGATAGAGAACAGAGATTCCAAGGCAAGAACCGCACTGAATTCTGGGATAAGAAAAGCAGGGGAGCATGGCATGATGGGGAATCCTTGCTCCAAATGCTAATCAACCCACATCTACACCCACTCAGCTCAGCATTTATCAGACCAATTCTAGTAATGACTCCTCTATTGGTATCCAAAATACTGAATCTTCCTGTCTGTATTGTGAGCTCCCTCAGAGTAATCTTGTCAGTGCAGAGGCAGAAAAGGATCTTGGAGTCATTATTGATGCTAAAATGAACATGGTCCGACAGTGTGGGGAAGCGATCAGGAAGGCCAACTGCACCTTGTCATGAGTCCACAGATGCATCTCAAGCAGGTCCAAGGGGGTGATCCTCCCCCTCTATGCGACAGTGGTCAGGTCGCATTTGGAGTACTGTGTCCAGTTCTGGGCGCTGCACTTCAGGAGGAATGTGGACAACATGGAGAGGGTCCAGAGAAGGGCCACTTTCATGATCAGGAGTCAGCAGGGCAGGCCCTATGAGGAGAGGCTAAGGGACCTGAACCCTTCTACTCAGGCACTACTTCACTGTCAGGGCGGCTAGGATCTGGAACCAACTTCTAAGAGAAGTGGTGCTGGCTCCTACCCTGGGGGTCTTTAAAAGGAGGCTGGATGAACACCTCGCTGGGGTCGCTTGACCCCAATACTCTTTCCTGCCATGGCAGGGGGTCGGACTTGATGATCTGCTCAGGTCCCTTCCGACCCTACCAACTATGAAACTATTATAGCCAGCAGTGATCAATTCCTATTATCTAGCATATGAACCATTGTTTACCCCCAAACAAACCTAGTGTTCTCCCTTGAGCCATTGTTAGTTCCCTACAAAAACCCCTACCCAAGCTCAAGCCTCTGTCCTGGTGCTTGGATCCAAAGCTGCATCAGTTCCACTCATTTTCTGCCTGGAATCTTTCCATTGATTGTGCTGAGGACTCTGCCTGTCTGCCAGATCCAACAACACCTGGGAACCTCGACTGGTTCAACCTTCTCTGAGTGGTGAGACCCCAACTTTCTCTCTCTCTCTGACTCCAGGAACCTGACTTTTATTCTCTTACTCCAGGCAGAGCTTTCTAAACTTGACTTTTGCTAATCAAACTCAAGCTAGACTTCCCCAAAACCCTAATTGAACCTATGTAATATTGTAACTGTTTAGTTCTCTCTCATTTTCATGGCTATTATTACTGGTATCATCATAAGTTCATATACCTGGCAATAAATAACTTTTATGGTCAAGCTGGTTGCTATACTTTTTCTATGAACTTCACCTACTCTTTTTTCCCCTCAACCTCCCCATTTGCTCCGCAGCAACACTTCTTTTACCTACACCAAAGATCCCTGTAATGCCCAAAACCACAGTGGGGTCTGCTCATCAAGGGGGACAGTTACTACTCCTGTCCTATTAGGACAGTTAGGGCAAAAGATTGGGATGTGCTGAGCTTGAGACACATAAGGGGATCAGCTTGTACAGGCTGATTGACCCAGTTTGGCTCAGATGTGCCCTAATGAACTGAATGCTGGCCCATGAGGGTGTCAGGACACCCTGCTGGATTCAGAGGTATTCTGTTTACCTGTGTGCTTGTGTCTGACTGCATTTTGTTGTTACCTTAGTGAACTGATTCCTGGCATATGAGGGTGTCAGCCTGTCCATGCTGACCAACCTGTCTGGGTCAGGTGGGTCACATTAATCTGCATGTGTATTGGACTGATTTGGTGTCTGGAGGAACCCAGCCCCATTGAAATTGAGTCCTGCAAGGTAGCTCCACTGGGGGTGAGGACTTGCAGAAGGGAGAGATACAGCTCCATAGAGAAACACAAGTAACACAAGCAGCACATTGACAGAATTACAGAGACCCCCAGAAACATACTCCTAATAAATGAGCACACCCCAAAGTGACGGGCAAATCTGGTAACAACACAGCCCTCAGAGACTGAGCTCCAGGAAACAACCGGCTCTTAAACGAAGCAGCGGAGAGACAGCCATGATGGAGAACGGAGGTACAGGGAATCTCACTCGGGGCACAGGAGCTGATGGGTAGCTGGCAAGACCCTGGGAAGGCTGGGGAATCAGACCCCAGAGGAGGATCCCCAGGGACAGCCAGCTCTCAGTGGAAGCAGCAGAGAGGCAGCCATGACCTGGAGCAGAGCAGCAGGGGGGCTGCAGTCAACAAAGTGGTGATACAGCCGCTTCCGCGTTAATGAGGCAATTAGCACAGTCAGCTGCATTGTATCCACTTCAATAAAGATAGGCACTTGGTGAAACTTGCACTTGGTGGTCTGGTGTTTCTCACCCTCTCCCCTCAGGGATTAACATCTAAATCTTTTTACCATATTCTTAATCATAGCAGGCGAGTCCTGGGAAAGAGAGGGGACGTACAGCTGACCCACTCCTACAGTGTCAAAGGCAGCCCCCAGCTGAAACAAACTGTAGTCATTTGGTTGGGGAGGCAGAAGGAGCCAGATACGATACTAGCCACATCATTCCCTTGTGTGCTCTTGGCTACAATATGCCTGAAACACACCAGTCCAGCTTGGAAGTACCTTTGGCTTGACTGCAAAGTGCGCAAAAATAATGGACCGGGTCAAAAAGTGGAATGAAAAAAACCTCAGTATTCAATTTATACTAACAATGATTCCCAGTAGTCACTGAAAGATAAATCATGAATCACACAATATAGATTTCATCACAAAGTTTTACTGTTCCATAATTTCTTTTAAAACAATAAATACTTCATTGAAAGCATTAACATTCACATTTGTATTTAAAAATTATAAATTTACAAAGACTTTGGGTATCAGACACATTAAACTTACTTTCAAAGACATTCAGTGAGTCACATCTTCATATTTTCCATTACAAAGAAACACAATATACTATATGAAAACATAAGAAACAAGGCACAGAAAAGCAAATACAAAAAAGACTTTCAGAGAACATTTGGAACACCCAAGCAATTCTAATAAAATGTAACACTCAATCCCAAAAGGCAAATTATAAAGTATTTCAAAGAAAGTTAAAAATATAGATGTTAAGTAATATAACTAATTGGGTCTGATCTTGTGAGGCACTGCCAGTGTCATACAAGATGCTGAACATCCTCTACTGAGGGCACTTAGTGCCTTGCAGGACTGAGGCCCATTATTTGTTGAAGTAACTTTACAGGGAGAAAAAAACCCCCAAAACATCACCACCACAAGTGTCCATACACTTTATAAAACTGTATGTTTCAAATTAGTGCAAATTCCCATTTCAAAACATTTAAAGAAAAACATGTCTTCTTTAATCTTAATACAATGGAATGCTCAGGAGTTCCCAAAGTGCTCTTATTAAACGTCTACAGGGTCCCTTTTAGTCACAATTCAGAACTCTTTAGTTAACATATTTGTAAAGAAAAATCCACAACAAGGAATTGTAATCAAGTAAATAAGATTAAATGGAATTAAGTGGAGAGAAATTTATGACACTGCATGTTACATAAAATCTTTAAAAATTCAGAGAGTGCACTGAATACTGCAAAGCTCCTGCAGAAAATATTTAAATAGCAGATTTTAGCATAATAAAACAATATTTAAAATAAGGCTTTGGTTAAATAAAAAAGGTTGCTGACCCTTAGTTATGGTGAAAAAGTGCAATATAGTCACTAAATGTATACCTTCATTTCCAAGGCAAATTCTATGCCTGCCATTTAAAACTGGTTTGCATTGGTTTGTATGTCTGCATTGTAAAAATAGCATTTTAGACACCTTCATTACAGGCAAATTAAGTATCTAGTGCCTAATCCTGCAAACTCTTTCATCTGGAGTAGGCCCATTAAAATCAAGAGACTACTTTGTGAATAGAAGATGCTGCTCTGCATGTGTACAGGTTCAGATCCTTAATCTGTAACACTCAATTATTTTAGAATAGACTCAGTTTCTTAGTATTTTCTAATAAAGTACCTGCTGGCAGCCAGCTGACTGCAGCTGATAACCTTTCAAATAAAGTTCTTGCACACACAGGGAAATAGTAATTTTTTTTTTAAAGTGCTTAATATTGGTCCATTAGAACAATGCTTATATATGGGGTAGCTTAAGACCAAACAGCTGGCTCTGTAGAAGGTAGTAGGTACACTGTACCTCATGTGTAGTGATAATTTTTAATTCACTAGTACTGAGTCTATGGAGAACAGTATCTTCCTATTGAAAATAATTAGAGTTTTACAGTTACAACACATGCTCCAGCTCTTCCTAGGCACAGCGGTGCAACCTATAAGAAAAACACAAATAATTCAGTATGTTTATCAGTAATAACTAACTTGTTTTCAGCATATTGACAGTTTTAAGCAAATGGCAAGTCCAGAGACAGGAAAATAAAATGTGGCTATACCAACAGAAATTCAGCTGAGACTGCCGAAGTAGGTCAATAGCCAAGTTTACAAAACATTACTCAGCCACCTCCACCTAGGCACTGAGGATGTCACCAGGCCTTCAGCCACTCAAAGATGCTTTTAACAGGCATTGTCCTGTTGTTCAAGTGACAGTTGAACAGCATCTTCCAGTGATCAAGGATCCCTGTGTAAGACTTAATAAGCCATAGCTACAAAAGGTAAAGTAGGGTTAATGAGTTTCAGGAGGGAAATCATTACACAATTGATCTCTAAGTAGGGTAACCACATTTCCTGTTTTTGCTAGGATAATCCTGTTTTAAACACCTCTCCTGGGGCATCCAGTCAGTTTTTTCAAATAAACATTTTTGTGTTTTTTCTGAAGTTCATTTGAAAAAAACCCACCAAGATGCCTGAGACAGATGTCTCAGAACATTTTCTTCTACTTCTTCCCACCTCCCACTCACCAGCACACTGCTCTGAACTCATTCCTCCTCCTAAAACTGGAGCTCAGAAACAGCCAAGTGTACTGGAAAGCAGGACGGAGGGAGACCTTACTCATTGCCAGGGCTTGTCTTTTGGTAGTCTGCTGGGCTGCAAAGGTCTATTAAGTGTTATGCTGGCTTTGTCACATGATGCAATGAAAATACTCATTCACGTGGGTGAAGATCTACAGTGAGTTGTGTATTCAGTGATGGGAAGCCAGGTACAACACTACAATTTGTTGCTGGCTGACATGTAGTAAGAAATAAGAACTGTAGCTGGGAGGCATCCATGCTGTATATAGCTCTTGCAGTTTGAAAATGGCACTATCTCCCTCCCCAACAGAAGTTGCCTGGTTGACCCAGAAGTTAGGTCAACCAAACAGAAACTTCTGAGCACCCACATTATACTGTAGCAGGTATCCACACTGCACTAGGGAAAGCAAGGCTACAGAGGAAACAAGAACCACCCTATCCTCCCATTTCCAGTGATACAGTTCAAACTCAGTCCCAAGTAAATACTAAAATTTACAACATGAGCATAGCTTGCTTACTGGTTAGTTCAGGGGTGAGTAATTATTTCGGGCAGAGGGCCGCTTACTAAGTTTTGGGGAGCTGTCAAGGGCTGCATAGGTAGCACCTGCCCCCATACTGGGACTAGAAGTCCTGCCCCCAACCCCTGACCTTTGCCACCGGAAGTCCCTCTCCTTGCCCTGGACATAGTCCATTTGGGAGGAAGGGTGCTGCAATCTTGAAACAGGGAAAAAACCCAAATCATATACAAAAACATAAAACAACTACTATAACTTATTTTAATTTTATTTAAAAATATTTTTGCACTGATATATGTTTACAAAGTGTATCTAGAGGTGACTGCATAATAGCTCAAAAATCAGTCATACTGTATGTTGTGCGTGGGCGGTAAGGGGGTGTATGTGGTGGGGTGTGGTTGCAGAGTGGGGGGGGGTGTGGTGGGATGGGAGAGAAAGAGAGAGATGGGGCCGGGCTGCCAGCTCCATTGTGTGTGGCACTTGTGGACTACATGTGAACTTTATGCGATGCAGCCAGGCAGACCCTGCACCCAGGCTCCACGCTCCTGCCACCCCAGCCTGGGTCCCTGCTGGTCCCAGGGCACCTGCACAGGCTCTGCGCCTACCCACTACCACCATTTCCCTGCTTTCCCTCTTGCACACTTGCCGGCCACTTCTTGTGTCCCCTGCCACTCCCCACTGCTATGGCCGCAGCTCCCGCTGTTTCCCGACACCATGGCCGCAGCCCCACTGCTTCCGCTGCTTCCCTCTGCCCCCCCAGCTGCTGCTTCCTCCCCTTTCTGGCTCCAGCCCGGCCCCACAAGCACCATGGGGCCCCCAGCTGCTGGGCAGTTCACAGCAGTTTCAAGGTCAAGTGATCAGAAGCTACAGAGGCTTCCAGCTGGAGGATAGGGGTGGGGCAGGGTGGTCCGGCCTTGCTGCTTATCCACTGGGTCCTGCCACAAGCCCCCCCTGGGTCCTACTGTCGCTGACTGCCTGTCATCTTTGACAGGCAGCCAGGGGCAGATAAAAATTAATTTTCTAAAATTTTTAGGGTCTCCACAGGCCAGATAGAATGCCCTGGTAGGCTGGATCCAACCCACGGGCCATATTTTGCCCACCCCTGGGTTAGTTGCTGCTGTGATGCACCTAACCCCATTTTATTACAACTTTATATTTTTCTGGTGTAGACGTAACCCTGTCTATACCCATAGATTTGTGTGTTGTTATTACAACTATCAGGTGCTGGATATGTCAAAAAGTACCCAAAATGCATTAGAGGGAACTTGGTCCTTCTATATGAGGCTGAGATAGAGAGCTGTGGCTGACCCCTGATCTAAGTAATACTTAAGAGCCCTCAGGTGATTTCTATAGAATGGAAAATACCTTTCCGCATTACATCAGAAAGATTTCCAGCATGTCTTCTAATCTTTTAAGGCCTTGAAAGGTTTTGAAGTAATCAAAATGTTTGATGGAGTTATGATAAGGATGGGAAAGATGATCTGTGTAAGAAGACAGGTTGGCCCTCATTCTTCCATAAAGTCATCTTGGTCATTCTGAGGTTCCTGGTCAGGTTTGTAGGATAGTTTTAGATAAAGTTTGAGATTCCCTAGCCACAACCTTAGAACAGAACAATTTTGCAATGGCTTTCAATTCAGCCAGATAAGGAGAAGATGAGAAAGGCTCTGAGTGTCATTGCAACCAACAGACCCAGGCTTGTGCCTGATAAGGTACCAACATACTGGGCCACAATTCTGGGATCCCAGAAAAGCAACATCTCCTTGGAACATGTCTACAGTAAGAGAGACTCCTTTTAAAGACATGATCAGGTCATTCGGGCAAAGGGGAGAACGTCCCAAAATAATATTTTTACTGTCATGAAAAGATGAGGAGGCTAATGAATAAAATTTCTCCAATGAATTGCCAGACCCCTGAGGTGTGGAAAGATGGAGAGCTTCAAGTCTGAAATGAGATGAAAGCACTGCGACTCCAGAGAAATTTATTTTTGGTTTCTTAGACCCTAGTATTAATGATACACTAAACATAGTAGAAAATAGAGAAATATCCTATAACAGTAGCCTTGGTTTCAGAGTAACCATAAAGTCAACAAGTGATGAAAACCAGGTGTAGTGAACAATTATGATCTCAGAAACTGGGATCTGTGCTGATGAAATCTAGGTAAGTAACACTAAGGATGCCATAACTAGGAAAATTGAGTCTTGACACTGAAGGCACAGGACGCAGTAGTAATGCTAAGAATTATGATTTCTAGGGCTGTGTGAAATTTTGCTGGGTGTTTGGTTTTGAAGCTGTTTTGATACATTTTGAGCGTGAAACACTGAAATTGAAATGAAACAAAAGCCTTCAAAACAACTTTGAAACAAAACAAGGGCACTCAGAACATTTTGAAAGTTTCAAAATGTTTTGAGTTTTGATGCTGGGCTTACTTGGCTTCAGCACCAGTTCCAGCTAGCAGCGACAGCTTCCTATCATCCGATGTGCAGATCAGGGGGCCCATCTGCACCCCTGTTAGGCTAAGGGGCTGTGCCGGACTCCTCCCGGGGGTGTGGGCCTCCAACCTGCGTGCCAGATGACAGGAGGCTGCTCCCACCCCCTGGGACCAGCGCTGGACCACATCACTGGCCACACCGGCCTGGGTCCTCTATGACAGCCGGGAGCTGCCTGAAAGCACACAGCCCCATGCTGTGCCAAGCTGGGCCACAGCAGCATGCTGTGGCAGAGGCTGCACGGATACCTGGTGGCTGAGGCCAAGCCACACTGCCCCCTGCTGTGGAAGGGGGCTGTGCCACAAGGCCAAGAGCGTGGCTGCTGTTGCTGGTAAGCTGGGGGGGGCCTGAGCTGGGCACGGGGCATGCGGGGCGGGGGCTGGAGCCAAGTGGGGAACATGTATGGCGGGCTGGAACCAGGTGTAGGCTGAGCAGGGGGCTGTAGCCAAGCGGGGAGGCAAGCGGGGGGCACTGGTCCCTGGTGGGAGAAGCAGCCTGTGCCTCCTCTCATCCGGGGTGCAGATCCAGGGGCTTGCAACTCCAGAAGGGCTGCTGGGCTATGCTGGACTACTCCTGGGGGTGTGAGCCCTTGGATCTGTGCCAGATGAGAGGAGGCTCAGGCTGCAGCAGGGGCAATCTTGTCCAGTGCTAGGCACAGCCTGCATCCAAGCACCGGTCTCAGGTGGGAGAAGCAGCTTGAGTCTCTTCTCATCTGGGGCACAGATTCAGGGGCTCACACCCCCAGGAGGGCCACCAGGCTGTGCCAGACTCCTCCATGGAGACCCAGATCTGTGCATCGGATGAGAGGAGGCTCCCGCTGCTGGCAAGTGTCAGGACTTTTCGTTTGAAAAGTTTGTGGTTCAGTTTCCCAGAAACCTCTGCACCTATCTCCTTGAAACTTGGCAGGCTTCATGCCCTCAGAAGGGGCTACCATCCTAGCAAATTTCATCCAAATCAGGCACAAAATGACACAGTTTTAGGCATTTTCATGATTTCCCATTATGGCTTATAGGCGAAATGTTGAAACTTGTTGAAACAGCGAAACAGTTTCGACAAAACGAAACACTGTCCCTTCGAAATGGCGAAATGGATGTTGAAACAAAACGATGGTGTTTCACACAGCCCTAATTGATTTCTCTAGCCTTTAAAGACTAACTGCCACAATGCTATTTCAATATAGTCTGTTTATATGAACACCTATATTGACTCTCTGCTTTCTTCTTAGCTGGCACTGGGGAGCACGAACCAGTGTCGATCTTCAAAGGGAGATTCTTCCTTTCTTTTTTTTTGTTTTTGTTTTTTTTAATCTTTCTTGCCTTAGACAGCAAGCGTCACCAACTAAACCAAGGATGGTTGACAAGACAGCTCTGATTGTTTGCTAACACTATGTGGTTTCATAGCCAAATGATTTCTTACTTCCCATCTCCTGTAGTCTGAACCAGCTTTGAAGCAGAAAGAGACTGCAGCTGAAGGGTACAGCTCACTGTCAGACATGCTCTGCATGGACTTTTCCATTAAAATTGAAATGGGCATCTCAAGCTCTCTTGTGTGCGCTTAGAAAAAAGAATTACAGAAAGCATCTCTCTCAGGGGATATGAGCACTCCTAAACAAAGTAAGCGCACAGAATATGCATCCTTAAGAAGCACAGTAATTGCACATGCATGGAACATTTTAAGGCCTTAAGACTCAAGCTAGACTAAACTAAATATTCTTTTGTGTATTACTTGTGCTTTTCTTTTCTAAAAAGCCAATGGGCTTCAATAAAGTTTATTAAAACCTAGGAAGCTACACTAACTGGTAGTATGTAAATAAATACATAAGCTACACGGTAACCAAGAAGATACTGAGATTCTGACTTCCTACCACAGGCACTAAAAAGGGACTGAATGATGGTTTAGGGATGTTTTGTCTTTTTTTATATCCTTGCAAGGGTTTACTGGCCCAACAGATACTGTTGCCTAAAAGATTCTGGACTCACAAGCATTTGGCGCACAGACCAGCAGTATTCATAAGGACAAGTGCTTAAGATCAATCTTCATCACTGGCTTTCCTCTTTCTTCTCTATCCACCCAACTGTCTTGTAATTGATGCATGACAGAGCTTCTTGGGGAATGGATCTTGTATTTTTTCTGTACCAAGAGGATCTATTACGGTTATAATTAAAATGAATAATATAACAAAATTATATTAGCAACTGTACCTGTGTCCACTCATTGGTCTGGGGATCATAGGACTCCACTGTATTAAGATAGGTTTGCCCATCATATCCTCCCACAGCATACAATTTGTCACCAAGAAGACACACTCCCACTGCATCTCTGCTAATGCTCATAGAAGCCACAGCAGTCCACATGTCAGTTTTTGGATCATACCTGAAAGAAATTTTTGTAAAGTTTTAATAGTGTTGCCAAAAAAATCATGAGGAAAGTATTAAAAATGATGTTCTCAAGGAACTAAATGACAGAATAGTTAAGGAAGCAATCTATCTTTGAGTGACTGACTTAAAGTACTTTCCTGAAAAACAGCATTTGGTTAATCATCTCACTGATATAAAGAATACCAGGTATATTCAGGAGCTTTACAGTATCTGCATGACCATATATGGTGTACAGAGCCCATACTCAGTGCTGTAACTAGGGTGGGGTGACTGGGACAGCCCCCCCAAGCCTCAAGTTGGGGGATAGGCATGTGGAAAGAAATGACTACCACTGTAGTTGCATGATCACACCAGCAGCACGGTAGTAACTGGAAGTCCCTTCTGCCACTGTGTGTGACAGCTGCTCTGGGTGTCCAGCTACATTGTTATGCCTCTGCCCATACTTCTTGGAACCCATAGTTGACTGAAATAATTTAAACTTTCATATTTCCATAGACTGATGCAGAGTTAAATGCATTTATTTAATGGGCAGGAAAAGACACGTATTAATTCTGGAAGTGGGAACAAAAATTTAATGCGATCAAAGTGGGCCTTACCTTGTTCTCTTTCTATACGAGACAAGACTATCAACACTGTAAATGATACATAACTTCATTTAACAATATGTTTAAATAATTTTTTTAATGAATTATTTGGATTATGATGTTATAAGGTTTCTATTGTGCAGCAAATATGAAATGCAAATGCAGCAAAACAATCAACATACCACAAACAGAGACAATAAAGTTCTTTTTCAGGAGTTAGGTTTATTATTTCATGTGCATAGTAAACATTCAGGGGTGTTTTACTAGTTTACCTATTCACTACAGCAGTGGTTCTCAACCTTTTCAGATTCAAGGCACCCCTCTATAACTTTTGTGAATTGAGAGGCATCCCATTTCAAAATCTAATTGATTATAGGGCTTACACCTCCTTGCAGACAGCACTAGCAGTGGGGAAAAGGGAGCAGTCAGGCAGGAAAAGCCTAAACTTGTCCTTATCTACCTGTTTCCTCACATCTCTGTGGCACCCTTCACAGGATCTCAGAGAACCCCAGGTTGCCCTGACACCTTGGTTGGGAATCACTGCATTAGAGCCACAATCCTGAAAGCTGTCCCACACATACAATCTCTTGTAGATCACCTTGTAAGACCGTGGCCCCAAAAAATCTCCAGACTATGCTTATGTTCTTATTTCTGTTGCTTTCTAAACAATAGAAAGTATAAGTTTTCTACTTCTTGTTGTTTTATGACCAAACAAGCTCTGTGTCAGAGTCAATTTCTGTGCCTAGATTGTGGTAGAGTTGTAGTTCCTTAATTTACCAGACAATTATTAAAGGTCAAAGTACAGAATTGTAGCAAAACCCCCAGTTTTTCTTTTTTTATTTATTTTAAAATGCATTCCCTCCCCTTCCCCAACCATTTCTGACTTTATCTCTCCCTCTCTGTTCCCTATAGATAAGTATAAGTAAGCTAAGATGTAGGATAAGCTTTAGCATTTTATTTTAGGTAGTAAGTTTTATTTTTCTCTCCCCTCTTTGCAAATAAGTTCCCTGCTATTTTGATATCGATACCGCTGTTTTATAAGTGATAATTATGTTTGTACTGCTTTTATATTGTGTGATTACTGTTTTAGGCCTATATATGAAAGTTAGCGTAAATCATGTCAAATTTCCATTTTGTATGTCAAGCCTCCATCTTGTGTCCTCTGCCCGGGCATCCCCCGTGTTGTAACTGTATGATTCATGTACCCCCTCCCATGTAAACTGGTTCCTGGATGAATGAGAGTGATTGGGAATGATTTAAATAAAATGGTAGCAGGCCTCTACTGAATGGCCTGTAATGACCAGGCCATCACCTCACATTGATTCATCCGGGAACCACAGACCTCACCCAGGAACAGAGACAAGAGCCCAGCATTTGAAAGACAAAAGACCCTGCAGAGCCAGCAACTCTACTATTGTACCCCACCATTACAGACACCTGAAACTGCACATCCCTGCATGGAGCACACATACTCAGTACACCAGGGGCTGACCCTTGCCTGGGCATGCCTCCTGTCACTAGGGTCACACAAGGTCTGCCCCTATAAAAAGGGGCAGTGAAGACATTCAACCAAGGACTTGGACTCTGCTTCTCTTCCCTACCTGGACTCCAGCCCTTCCACTGATCTCTTTGTCCTGCTGCCATTGTGTGTGTGCGTGTGTACACCAATAACTTCATGGGGCTGTGTAGTGTGTTGTCTAATAAAACTGTTATTTGGACCCCTAAGTTGGGTTTTGCTTTACTACGATTTGGCCCTGCTCCAATCTCTGCTCCTCACTCCTCTAACTTCTGTCTCATTTCTCCCTCTCCTGCTTCTGGCTCACTGCCAGCTCCAACACCTGTCCTGAGCGCCTCTCTGCCTCCAAACCCCCTGTTTCTTTGCCACTGTCTTATCCCCACTGCTTTTTCCTTTTCCCATGAGCAACCAGGTTTCTGCCTCAGTTTCTTTCCTGGCTGTCTCCTCCTTGCCACCAGTTATCTGCCCCCTCACCCCAATATCTCAGCTGTCTGCCTCAGTTTCCAGCCCCAGTATACCTTAAGTAAACCCAAGCCTCAGTTCCTCAGCCAGCTTCTCTGTAGTCCACCAGTTCTAATCCCAGTTCTGGCAACTTTCACTCCCTACACTTTAACTCTCTCTCTCTCACCTGAACCTTACCCCAGGTACACACATACACACTACCATCCAAGTTAGGAACTTACCTGTATGTATATGGAGGTGGGTTGTATGTGTGTGAACTGGTGTGTGTGTGTGTGTATGTATGTGTCATTGTGTGCATGATATACGAATGAGTGATCTGTGTCTAACTTTTGCGGTATATAGTGTATGTGCTTGAATTGGTGATAGGTATGTATGTGCCTAGGCTGGTTTGGATGTGTATGTGCCTGAGCTGGTAGCGCGTGTGTGTATGCACCTAATTGATTTGTGTGTTTATATATGTGCAATTGTGTCATACCCTCCTGTCTAACAGTGGAATATTGAGATCCTGAGAGTTGGCCTGACCCCACAGGGCAACAGAATGAATATGAACTGTGTTGCTATGGAGATCCAGGGGACAAATAAGATAACTGCTCTGTGCTTCCTAGTAACTATAAAGTTATGAAAAAACAAACTGGTGAAATGGCAAAACTTTTGTGGCAATTTACAGCACTTTTTTCTCACAACATGGTGATGATCCTACCTCAACATGGTGACAGAGAGGTATTGAAAACACCTCATTTAAAGCTTGATTCTAGAAAATATCAATAGAGGTCTTTAACTAGTTATCAGGAATTCAAATGGACAGTCCAGACACCCCTATTTTAGAAACTTATTTGACTTGTACGCTGCAGACATTCCATATTCAGACGAGTCATTTTGGTAACTAGAAGACACAAAGATAACAGAAACGAACTTCTTGAGGGAAACAAATCAGTAAGAAGGTCTGAAGATGCAAGACTGAAAATAAATTATTTCCCTGGTTAAGTTGTTATCCAAAACTACAACAGAAAAATAAGCTCTCTTTCCATATGGCACAAATGTAAGAAGTTTTGGATATCTCTCTGCCATAGTTTTTCTCTAGTGGTACAACACCTATCTGCTGGAAGCACTTTGGAAATATACATTTTACTCATGCAGGATCATAGATCTGAAATGCAGCAGGGAATGAAAGATGATAAAATATAAAATAGACATGGGGTTCATTCTTCAATTTGAATTTTATTATATATAATTAATTTATATGCTACTGGAATGCTCTGGAAAACCTACCGCAGTATCACAGCATACAGGAGCAAATATGCATTCATTAACTTCACAGTAAATGTTAAGATGCTGCTAATTTTTTATTAAATTATATTTGCACATGTTTGTTTATATCGTGCTGCCTTTGAAGGTTATTTTCTATCTCTACCTCACTGATTTAGGAGACAAGCAATATTAAAAACAACAAAAAGAAGACCTATAAATTAAACGTTGATTTAACAAAAAAATCACATTAGGAAAAGTGTGATTTAAGTGAAAATGGATTATTAAACTAATTCTATTATAAAACTCATGTCATTCATAATTAGTTGTAGAAAATATTTGGGCAGAAAACAAGTAAATCTTTCCCCTGTCCTTTCTCTCGCTACCTTCTTTAAAAATCTAATTCAGGGGCGGGTAATTGTTTTGGGTGGAGGGCCGCTTACTGAGTTTTGGCAAGCCATCGAGGGCTGCATGACAGGCAGCCGGGGCAGATCAATATTAATTTTCTAAATTTTTTAGGCCCCCCCCGGGCTGGATAGACTGGCCTGGTGGGCCGCATTTTGCCCACCCCCGATCTAATTTGTGTGGGTGGGGGTGGGGGAAAAAGAGGGGAAGGGCAGAAGGGGCAGGAGAATGGAGCATCAACTCTGCAAGCTCTTCTTTAGAACCTGGTACTATAACGTTCCTTATTTTATCTGGTGTAGATCATGCAATATAGTGTGACATGCATAGCATTAGTGCCCTGAAAGTCTGAAAGGTGCAGGTCTGGGGCTTAAGTTTGATATAGTTCTCTAAACAGATCCTCAAACTTGAAGGTGATTTGGCAAGAAAGGGAGATGGTTGCCCCTTGGGGGAAGATGAGTTTTAGAGAATGTGTGCGCGAGGAAAAAAACTGGCTCCAGCATTCCTTTTCCACATAACCTTAACATAGTTTGTGGGAAGATTTTCAGAAATTCTTAAGAAAATTCTTACTTGGGAGCACATATCCCATTGATTCTCAGTGGGGCTTTTCTTCATTAGATGCTTTTGAAAATGTCTCCCTAATTAAAAGAAATATCAGGGAAGAGTTCAGCTGGCTTACATGGCCAATAATAAAATATTTCAGAAATCTAGAAGCCTGAAAATCACTGTAAAGAAAATATGCTGTACCTCAAAGTGGTTCTGCCATTTGTAAGCAATATAGTCATGTCAAACTTGTTCCCTCCTCTCCCTCCTCCTGCTCAACCCCCCCAAAACCAAACAAAACCAAACCCTTCAATTTGGGATAGCTGTAGAACTCACAAAAGGCAGACAAATGTGATTTATTTTACATTATGTATGCTTTAAAGGCACCCAGAAAAAAAAAAGATAATGGGCATAAATTGATTAACAACTCATTTAAAGTTATATTATGCATTGAGGAAGTTCTATCCCTTGTTAAAAGAACAGCTTGGGTGAAAAATTGTAGTGTTTGTAAAGGTCTTAATTTAAAGTTTCTTAATACTTCATTCACAATTTTTCAATGAGGTTCTTAAAGGAAAGAATAGCTTCTGGATAAAAGTGCATTATGAAGGCTTTTTTGTTTCACACTGTGCTGTATCATGAAAATATCATAGAGAAGTAGTCAGCCATATTAGTCTGAAGTCAGGGCAATGAAGTACCTACAAAAGTTTATGCCTTTCTGAACCAGTTAGTCTGTAAGGTAGCACCGTGCCTTGCCTTCTGGCAGAAATAATATATAAATAATATTGTATTCCATGGTATGCTTCTAAATTAGTTTTGCTGGTGATAAAAATAACAGTCATTGTAATAAGTTTACTTACTGCAGTTTATCTGTGTAAACCATTTTTGCTAGTACTATCTTTTCTGGGTATTACCTTTCTACACAATCCGACAGCCTGGATGTCAAGTTTGAGGCTGGAGCATCATGTCCACCTATAGCATACAGGAACCCATTCCAGGTAGTTACGCCTACTCCTCCTCTTCTCTTTGACATTTGAGCACAGAGAGTCCACTTGTTAGTATGAGGATCAAAGCATTCCACAGATTTCAGACAAGAACTTCCATCTCTACCACCAACTGCATAAAGCCTAGAAAAAAAACAAATGAAACTATTAAGTAAATATTATTGTCGTTTTTCCATTTATTTATAAATACATATTATACATCGGAATCAATGAGAATAAGATTTAAGTAGAAAGAATATGAGGGAAGAACAAAGCAACATATAAGAGCAAGATAGATAATGTCCTGGGGAAGGTACTAAGTGTTGTCAAATAGAATTTTTGTAATATGTCCAGGGGTCAAAAATCTCCCCAGTGCTGATCCCTTGCAGTATGGAGAATGTGCAGTATATTATGCTGCAGATGTGTCTGCAGTGCCACATACCACATAGCTGTGCTCATCTGGACGCGGCCCAGGGACTCAAGGGACCCCAGGTAGACCTATATCCAACCATGGAACCTGAACTGAGGTAATATCAAGTTTAATCAAATCCACCTTAAAACCTCTTGTCACCTAAAGAGCGAGTTTTGTCCAAGACACAACAGACTTTCTATGAAAATTTAAAAACAGATTGCCTTCCTACCAATATCCTAGCTACCATGGATATTACCAGCTTATGTACCAACATCCAACACCAGGATGGCATCTAAGCCTGCCTTACATATCTACAGGAGCAAGATTACAACTCAGAGTACAGACCTAAAGATATTGTTGACCTTATACACTTCATCCTCACACACAACAACTTCACTTTCAATAACCAACATTTCCTCCAGACCATGGGTACAACTATGGGCATTAAAATGATCCCACAATATGCCAACCTTTTTATGGGCCACCTGGAGGAATTCCTCAAGAACTGGACTGTCAAACCTACGTTAAGATATATAGGTGACATCTTCATCATTTGGACTGAAAACCTGGAATCTCGGATTGATTTCCATTACAAATTTAATAATTATCACCCTTCCATCAGACTCTCTCTAGAACACTGCTGCACCATCATTTCCTTTTTAGACACTATGGTCAATATCCAGAATAGTGGAATATAAACCACCATATACAAGAAACCCATGAGCCAACATACATATTTACACAGAATCAGCAATCACCCTAAGCACACCAAGAAAGCTACAATATACCACCAAGCCCTCTGATCTCCTCAGTGCAAATTCAGTGGTAACACCCACGACATCACCTCACATGTCAAAAGGGCTTGTACTCAGCAGGGACACCGCTCCAAAGAGATGGATCAGACTTTTGAAAGAGCCACCCAGATACCGTGTAGAATTGCTGCAGTACAAAAAGAAAATCCCTACAAATCACACAACATTAGTTACGACATACCATCCTTTCTCGGAACCTATATGGAAAATCCTCAAACAACTGCAACCCATACTAGAAGAAAACCCAATTCTTAAAGAGATCTTCCCAGAACCACCCACCCTAGCTTTTAAACAGGTACCAAACCTCACCAACCTCATCACCCATGTCCCATAGCACACAAAATGGATCCAGACCACATTGGGACAAGAAATGTAAACCCTGCCAACATATCTCCACCACCCCCACAACAACTACACCCCACAACAGAATGAATGCCATTCCTGGATCTTTCACCTGCACCTCCAGAAATGTAATATCTCATCCAGTACCCTGAATGCCCTGCCAGAAACTACACAGGAGAAACCAAACAACAACTGTGTACCAGAATGAATGCACATTGAACATCTATCAAAGACAAAAATACTCAATTACCACCCCCCACCAAACTGTGGGAACACACTTCTCACAAGACAATCACTCTCTCTCCAATCTCTCAGTTCTAATCCTCAAACAGAATTTACAAAACACCTTTTGTAGATGAGCCTACAAACTTCACTTAAAAAATCTACAGGATACAAAAAATCATGGACTAAATATAGACATTGGATTTATGGTGCATTATAACCTGCCTGCCATCCAGTAACCCCAGGTAACCTCTACATTTTACTAGCTACATTTTATCATCTGTTGACATTCCCCTCTTTGGTTTCCCCCACCTATCCGTCTCACACCCATTTATTCCTATTCCCTCTGATCTTCACTGCAATGCATTTGCATTTTCACAGACCTGCATTTTGCATATTGCCTTAAGCAATCCTAGAGAGAAGACAAACACCAGAAGACTCTCCCTATGCCTGAAGAAGAGCATCTGTGCCTGAAAACTTGAAAATAATTTTTTTTCCAACTATTCACTTGGTCTAATAAAAGATATCACATTTACCCAAATAACTGTGTTTACTCTAGGGGCCAGGCACCTTAAGTCAGGTTTTCTAATGTCTAAGTTCTTTACTGAAGCCAACCTACAGACACATAAGAACCTAAGCTACCCTGACAGTAATTTAAAAAAAAAGGGAGTTTTCTAAAAACCTAAACAGATTACATTTTCTTCCTGCAATCAGCAGAAGATCTGTCAAAGCCAAAGTCTGCTGCAGCAGCAGTACATTTTAGGTTTTCTTGATATGGGTAATGCACCAACTAGGGATGTGAAAGGCTAAATGGTAATTATATTTATACTGTTTGACATTTACCATTTACTGTTTACCTCCCACCTTGGTGCTGCCCACTGTTGGGGGAGTGGCTCTGGCAGGGGCTGCCCAGGAGGCAGCATGGATTCAGGCTGCGGCACTGCACAGTTGCTGTGGCAGGGAAATAACTAGCTGTTACCTTGGGGAATGGACCCGGGCAAAGTTACATGGCAGAGCCATTGAAGCTTAAATAGGAGTAAGTGCATTGGCAGGACTGCCATCGGGTGCCAGAGGGGCAGGCTGCCCCTCCCATGGCACCCACAGGGGCTCCCACCTGCCAGGAGAGCCATTCTGTGCCACACCCAGGCAGTGCCTTCAGCCCGCAGGTGCCTGAAGCTCCGGGTGGCACCTCCCCTCATGCCTGCCTGCTCCCCAGGCTCTGGTAGCTGCTACTTGGCAAGGACCCACGGTGGCTCTCCTAGTCTGCAGGCACGTGGAAGATGAATGTACCATGCAGGTTTGTACCTCAGGCCTCCACCTGTGGTTTGGGTGCTCTCTGCTAGGAGCCATGGCACTGGGGCTAGCCCTCAGTCAAGCAGAAGGAGTGCAGCACCAGCCCAGCTACTTGCTGCATCCAGATGGGGAAGGGAGCAGCATGGAACATGCAGCAATCCTGCATACCACCCTCAGCCCCTGCTCCCTGTGCTGCCCTGCCCTTCTGCCATGGGACTGTTTAATGATATAATTAAAGAAGATTAAATGGTACATTTTAAACAAACTATAGTTTAAAAGGCTATGCTACTCACTATGGAGAAGCTTCCTGTTTCCATTTTTACTGCAGCTCCCGCACCATAACTGACCATACAATTGCATAAACTTTCCCCTAGCAGTGCCATATACCCGAAGTATTACATACTTCGCTATTATTACAGGAAAAATAAAAATGAAGAACACAAAAGTTTCCATCCTACTCCAAGATGGGAATAATCCTGATGGAGTTGCACTAGAGAAGGAAAAGAAAATGGGGCTTCCAGTTTTTAAATGCCATACACAAGAGGTTATAACTAGGAATAATAGGATGAAATTGTGTGAGCAGGTGCATACTCCATTTCCTGTAGTTTATTTCTTTTAACATCTTGGTGGATTAGCAGTAGTTAAGATGTCAGGCAGGAAACAGGTATAAGCTGATATTGGTGAAAAGCAGCAATGGTTACTTATTTATTTTTAATAAATAAACCCAATAAGGGCAATCTTCTAACAAATTAAAACATCCAGAATGATCTCCAGGAAACTACATACCATAAAGTGTATAGTATTTCAATGGACATCTTTTCCTAAATCCACCAAAGGTAGCTATTCTCCCAAGTACAGCAAGCATGCTGAAGAATGATACTTTGCCTGGGATTTTGATATTCCTCTTAAACACACCGTACAAGGAAATGCAAACAATAGGCCCCTAAAAGCTTTGTTTAATCTGCTGGGAAAAATGTTTTCAATCTTAGCTCTGTAGATAATCTCTCAACATCCACTAGGTGGTGCAGTTTGTTATTGTTAGTATACATGGATGTTGGCACAGTGTAATAATAATAAAAGGATGTATTTGCCCAATGTACAATTAAGGCACCACTTAAAAAATGGAAGGAAAAAAAATCCACTGTTATGAGCACTGTATGTTTAACAACGTTGAAGGAAAACTCTGAATCAATAAAGATGATCAGATATGGGAAACTCTAATGGTGTCTTTAAGCCATCTACAAACAGCAAACAGAATTGCAGATACACTATATGCCAAATGTCTTTATTCTGAAGCATAACATTCCAGGAAGTATTCTAATAAAGGATAGTAATGCATTAGAAAAAGCCATTAGGTTTAACCCACAATGTCACCCTTAACACTTGAAGCACAATTTGAGATGTATACTTACGTGCCATTGCCTCAAATGACCCGTCTTTATACAAAAATCACTCAGCAGCTGAACCATAGCAGCATTTAAAACTATAAACAACATCACCTAATGAAAACTAAATAGCAGTAAACATGACTGCTTTTTGCAATACAAGTATAAACTTACAAAACTCATGAACAAAGTAACTGATATAATACGATTTCTTTGCCTCCATTTTCCTGAGCAGGGACCCCCTCAGGCCCCGAGGGAGGCGCACCCAGGCCTAGGGTCAGTGAGGATCTAGTCAGGGAACTTCTGGAGGGACTGGACTTATTTAAATTGTGGGACCCCTGGCACGGCTTTATGAGCACTCGTGGTGCTCTGGTGTGGTGCCAGAGAACTGGAAAAGGGTCAATGTGGTTCCCATTTTCAAAAAAGGGAGGAAGGAGGGGCCAGGAAACTATAGGCCAGTTAGCCTTACCTCGATCCTGGGTAAGCTTTTTGAGAGAATTATCCTGGCGCATGTCCACGAGGGGCCAGCAGGGGAGCTTATGCTTAGGGGCAACCAACATGGGTTCATTACAGGCAGGTCCTGTCAGACCAACCTGGTGGCTTTCTATGACCAGGTCACAAAATCCTTAGACACAGGGGTAGCAGTGGACGTAGTCTTTCTGGACTTCAGGAAGGCCT